CAACCATTTCTGTTTCCGGCCTTAAATTGTTCTTGTAAATGTTTTACATTTCAGTTATTCGTATTCATATTCTGTGAACAATGTATTTTATTTTGTTAATAAAGTCCCTATCTTTCAAATTGAAACTGCTCTGCTTGCTAACTTGTATTTGTTGATACCATACTTACTATAGGGATGAATACATCATTATTAAAGCTAATTAACTATAGATTCACTATAAGATCACCATAGCCAACTCTATAGGATTACTATAGTAATTTTCTGTAGTGTGTTCCAAAAAACCATAGAAATAATATATAAAGCACTAATAGTGATACTACATAAAACTCAATAGTATAGCTATAGTAATTTCCTATAGTGGTCGAAAAACCATAGAAATACTACAGGAAACACTATAGTATAACTGTAACTTCACTATAAGATCACCATAGCCAACTCTATAGTATTACTAAAGTAATTCTCTATAGTGTGTCCCAAAACACCATAGAAATACTATAGCAGTTTTTTGTGGTATTTCTATAGTAATTCTCAATAGTAATACTATAGTGTTTTTTCGTAAGGACACACACACACACACACACACACACTTTTATTTCCATGCAACTATCTGATTGGTCTGGTGTCATGCCTCTGTTGCATTCACTGAACACTGGAAATTACAGTCCTGCAGTCCACTCGAGTGTCATGATGAGGTTCACGTAAAGCACGGTTAATGTATTATATCATTGAGGTAGAATTGTCCGGGGCTACAGAATTGTAGCCAACAATGTGGAATTTATTGGCTACATATTACACAGATTATACACAGCGGGAGCAGCAATAACACCATTTTCCCACAGCGCCCTCAGCACCCCCCTTCCCGCGCCCATGGCTGTGAACCTGTATGGAGGCTCACAAACCTCCACGGAGACCTGCAGTGGAGGATCCTCCACGGGGCTCTTGGCGTTAACGCCTTTGTGTCGAAAATAAATCCCACCGTGTCTTCCGAGTGTCCGTTCTGCACCGACAAAGAGACAATCACACACTGCCTTCTGGACTGTCACAGACTGAAACCTCTTTTTATTGTTTTAAAAACCTTTTTAGATTGTGGGGAGGTTTTTGAATTGCAAATTTGGTGAAGAGCTGAAAATGTGTTAAGAGTTTTGGAGATTTGAGCTGAGGTTTTGCTCTTTGAGTGTGAGATTAAAACATTTTGCTTCATGTGAGATTATGTGTTAGCAACTGAAAACAACTGTAATTTTGTTTTGGGGAATGATATGTGAGGAAATATGTCAAATCATAGGGTATAAGGTTTCTAAAACTAGTTTGGTACTCTATTTATGTAAATTCACTGAGGAAATGATTGCAAGTGACAGATAGTTGATCAAAATTCTGCTAACATCCAGTAAGAAAGCTAATACTAGGACATCTGGGGTGAGGAAGCACCACCAACGAAAAACCAATGGGTAACAATTGTGGAAGAAATCTTTTTGATTGAACAACTGATTCATAAATTGAGATTACAAGAAACTCAACAGAAAGTGGGAACATTGGACTCAAAACTACGGAGCCCCCCTGGTGACATTGGTGAGAAAAATATTAATACGTGGCCACGTATTAATAATGCGTGGCCACAAATTAATAATGCGTGGCCACGAATTAGTTATTACGTTCCCACGCATTAGTAATTTGTGGGAACACAATAATTATTACGCAATAACTAAATCCAGATAGTCTATAGAAACTGATGACTGAGTGACAACCATAGACAACACTATAGCTAAACTCTGTACCGTAGGCTACGGCTATTATCGCGAAGCATGGATCATTTTGATTTGATTTCATTTTATTTTCATTTGGGTATGAATTATAATGATATTCTGCAATCCCTTGCAGTTAAGCACAGTGTCATCCTTAGCAAAAGGCACTTGATTCGGCTGCTGAAAATGCACGGTTTGAAACGTAGTTGAGTAAAGTTAGAACGATATTGGCAGATTCGGATTTCATGGATCAATAACTCATGAACAAAACGTTATTCAGACACAAATTACGTCTCCTAGGTACCGTGGTAAGGTTGACAACGAACTACAATCACATGTTGATCAAAAAAAAAGCCAATATGCGCTGTCCTCGCTCCGAGCTGGACACATTACATTGGTCTCTATCTGCAGCCGGAGAAGAAACAAGTGCTCAGGGACCGTCTGCAAATATACTGTATAATAGTGAAGTGATTGAATATTATTGTATTCTCTTTTTTCGGAGTTGCACTTTGCAGACGGTCCCTGAGCACTCATTTCTTCTCCGGCTGCAGATAGAGACCAATGTAATGTCTCCAGTTTGTGCACGTATTGGCTTTTTTTTTTGGATCAAAATGTGATTGTAGTTCGTTGTCAACCTTACCACGGTACTTAGGAGACGTCATTTGTGTCTGAACAACGTTTTGTTCATGAGTTATTGATCCGTGAAATCTGAATCTGCCAATATCGTTCCAACTTTACTCGACTTGTTGTCACTCAGTCATCAGTTTCTATAGACTATCTGGATTTAGTTATTGCGTAATAATTATTGTGTTCCCACAAATTACTAATGCGTGGGAACGCAATAACTAATTTGTGGCCACGTATTAATATTTTTTCGCACCAATGTCACCAGGGGGGCTCCGTACAAAACAAAGACATTTGACTGGAACAATAGCTAACAGATACATGTATCTTCAAGACTATAATAACATGAAGACATATCCCTATCCTTTTATTTATTTATTTGTTTGTTGTTATTGCCTTGCTGGCCTTTCGTTGCATGATTATTATGTTGTTTGTAAAGAGCATGTTAATGCCATGTATATTGGGACAATTAAGATATAGATTTAAACAAATATATTTTACATTGTGAGTCCAGTTATCCAACGAGAAGCCACATCAAAGAAGAGTGGCAACAATAGACTGGTATAAGATCTCCATCAACAGACTGGTAGATGATCTCCAACAACAGACTGGTAGAAGATCTCCAACAACAGACTGGTAGAAGATCTCCAATCAACAGACTGGTAGATGATCTCCATCAACAGACTGGTAGAAGATCTCCATCAACAGACTGGTAGATGATCTCCAACAACAGACTGGTAGAAGATCTCCAACAACAGACTGGGAGAAGATCTCCAACAACAGACTGGTAGATGATCTCCAACAACAGACTGGTAGAAGATCTCCAACAACAGACTGGTAGAAGATCTCCATCAACAGACTGGTAGATGATCTCCAACAACAGACTGGTAGATGATCTCCAACAACAGACTGGTAGAAGATCTCCATCAACAGACTGGTAGATGATCTCCAACATCAGACTGGTAGAAGATCTCCAACAACAGACTGGTAGAAGATCTCCAACAACAGACTGGTAGAAGATCTCCAACAACAGACTGGTAGAAGATCTCCAACATCAGACTGGTAGAAGATCTCCAACAACAGACTGGTAGAAGATCTCCAACATCAGACTGGTAGAAGATCTCCAACAACAGACTGGTGGAAGATCTCCAACATCAGACTGGTAGAAGATCTCCAACATCAGACTGGTAGAAGATCTCCAACATCAGACTGGTAGATGATCTCCAACATCTTGCTGCAGCGATCCCGTAGGATTCTAGTATCTGTAATGAGGCCCTACCTAAGTGTGAGTGTGGCAGTCGTGCAATCTTACCCTAAATCAGAAGAGGACAGCGCATCATTCATTTAAGTTACCCCAGACCAAATGGGTGGGATGGTTTTATTTGAAGAAATGGTCCACACTCTAACACCGTTTTTTACTTTATCTGGTTACAATGTGACAGTTATACAATGTCTTACTCTCTGGTATTAATTATTAATTTACCGGTGAGCATGTTTTCCTTTCTGTTAAAACTCCCTGCATATCTCCAGAGAAATGTCCTCATGATGACAGCGGGTAATACAATCTAGGGAGAGATTCCCAGTTAAGAACCCTAAGACCTTTTTTCCTCTCTCAGCTGCTGCTTTTATATCATACCAACAGAAGCAGAAGTGAATGCACACCAACAGACCCATGTATGTGGAGAAGAGTCAATGCTTCCAGGTGTGAGTCTGGACATGTCCCGACTTGCCTCAAAGACTAAACTAAAGCTTACAGTAATATCCCATTGAGTCAGGGGCCTCCTGCTGTGAGAGTAAGGGTGTCTTCCCTCTGCTGAATAGTGACACCTTTAGTGATAAGCTATATCAGACCTTACACTCTTTCACGTCAGTTTAACAAACTGTACATTTAGTATATAAGTATAGAGCAGGAGTGCCCAATCTTTTTTTAACCGAGAGCTACTTTTAAAGTTGCCAGTCTGCCGAGATCTACCAGTCCAAATAGAGAGGCGTAGCCATTACCCAGCCTACTACCAGGTAAATACACACTTCTACTTGTATAAAACTGTCCTTTGTACGATGAATACTTCATAAAATACTGCAGATCCTTTATCTTACCTATTTCTAATCTACACACATACAAGTATTTAACTGAAGACAATGTACTTAACCCCAAATAAAAGAACCCAATAAAAAGAGTTGTTAAATAATAGTGAAGTCACGTTGTAATAACAATAACTCATCTCTCTCGAGTTTTCCTTTTGAGCTTTGCCAAAAGCCACTGTGTCAAGTGTCCTACTTGAGTTGCCGTATGTAGTTGTCAAATATGGCGGACCATCTTGCACATGCACACTGTAGATAGGGCAGGGCGGCAGATCGGGTAGTGACAGACACGGACAACGTCAGCTAACTAGTGCACTGCCCACCAGCCACGCCCGACACATGGGGTCACGCCGGCCAATCACAAAGCTTTGATGCGTTCAAGTGCATTATTCTGGCACAGGAAGATAAAACAGAATATTGTTGTTCTATTTTTAGACACATCTCGCGATCGACTGTGTAGCGACAGCAGGAAACAAACTAAGTCGCTGAGAGGCTGAGACTTGGCCTGTTTGCTGTTGTATGACACGCTAAAAAAGTACTCGCTGAGATCTGAAGCTCTGTTTCGTAGTATGGTAGTTTAATGAAAAAACTCGGTTCTCAGACATATACACATCTAATTTAGCAATGTGTGCTGCAATATCCTCCTCCATCTGAAGATGCTCCTTTCTCCTCCTTATTCGCTCCTCCTCTTCCTCCAGTTCATGTTTGTCCTTTAATAGTTTATTTCTTGCCATTAAAGCTGCCAAGTCAGCCTCTGTTTTACGGCATGCAGACGAAGCAGTAGAAGTTGCAGACTTTTTCCCCAAAGCAGAATTTTGTGATCGGGTTGCTCTTCTTCCGATCTCCACGTTTGACACACTGTCACTTGGATCCTCTTGCATGTCATCTGTAGTTGGAGTATCCGGCACAGCAGCAGTTATTGTGGCAGAATCCTCTTGTGGCTCCTTTAACCACTATTTAATGTCCCTCTGAAAGCTTTCACTGTATTCCAAGATACTGGCAAACCATTCCTCTTGTTTCTTCAGCTCATCCTCTGGGAGGAAAGGAATCAACATTTCATGTGAAATAATGGCTTTTTCACCCAGTTGAATTAATTTATCTAAATGAGTTTGCACACGTGAGGCTTTTCCCCTTTCTCTCATGTGTCCTTTTATTTCTGGTATGAGTGCTTTTATTTTGTTCACACTGGTTTTACGTTCCCGTTGAAGTTTTTCGATGTTATTCACCAATGCCTTCGCAGTGAGTGTGCGTTCTCTTTTCCCATAGTCCATTTCAACACCTTCAACATCAACATTTATTTGACTCATTTTCTCCGTCAGATTATTCAAGCTTCCTCAGTGCATTGGTTTGATTGCAACACACTCGAAGATCGGAAGACAATTCCTTCAAAGCATCACATTTCCACATGGCCACATCAACAGAGCAGCGCGACTTCCATGCGACAGAGCGGAGTTATACGGAGATACACAGCGGTGAATACGTGCACATTCAGCGGTAAGGCTTACCTGGCTGTGATCCGCGTTGAATGCGGCTTCCAAACTGCAGTCTCTATTAACAGCCAGTGCTTACCTCAGTGAATTATTTCCATATCTCCATTCTCATCTAATAGATCCTTAATCCATGCGCTGTTTGATGATGATCGCCTTACGCCTTTTGTGCTTGTTGTTTTTTTGTTGACAAAATATAGCGACAGCAGGAAACAAACTAAGTCGCTGAGAGGCTGAGGCCGGGCCTGTTTGCTGTTGAATGACACGCTAAAAAAGTACTTGCTGAGATCAAAAGCTCTGTTTCGTAGTACGGTAGTTTAATGAAAAAACTCGGTTCTCAGACATATACACTGTTATAATCAAAGCAATTGTAATCTTGCGGTCAACAAAAAAGTACAACGGCCCCGTATCACCCTCTCTTCCACACACCCACACCTCACACAGGTGAACAGGATTATAATCCTTTTCTCTCCAGACAGCAGTTGGAGACAGTAATCCATGCCTTTGTCACCAACCGGCTGGACTACTGTAACTCTCTCTACATGGGGGTCAGTGGGTCCGCCCTCGCACGACTGCAGCGGGTGCAAAATGCTGCAGCAAGGCTCTTAACTGGCACACGGAAGTATGACCACATGTCCCCTGTTTTAGCTTCTCTCCACTGGCTGCCAATTTATTTTAGGAACCATTTTAAAATTATTTTATTTACTTTTAAATCCCTAAATGGCATGACCCCACCATACCTTGCTGAGCTGCTACAGCATTACACGCCGAACCGCCCTCTCAGGTCAGCGGACCAACGGCCCCTGAATGTGCCTAAAACCAGGTCAAAGCTCAGAGGGGACCGTTGCTTCTCTGTAGCGGCTCCCAAACTGTGGAACGCTCTGCCCCTGGAGATCAGACAGGCCTCCACACTGCCTGCTTTTAAATCGCTTCTTAAAACCCACCTCTTCTCCTTAGCGTTTTAACATTTGGCGTGTCAACATCTTTCAGAGTGTTGCTTTTTTGCACTTAAATTGTTTTTTGTTTTTACTTGTACTTGTTTTATGGTGTGTGAGCTGAGCTGTGTTACTTTGTTTGTAAGCTTTGTTTTATCTATTTGCCTGTATAGCACTTTGGTCTGGAGGTTTAAAGTGCTTTATAAATAAAGTTGTATTGTATTGTATAATGAGTGCCACCCATACCCATGTGACCCAAGCCAACCAATCAATATTGATCATGGCTCCTACAGACTGGTTGGGCATCCCTGGTATAGAGCTTCATGACATATCATGCATTTTACATTTTGGATTCTACAAAATTATATTTGATTATATTAACTTTAGTTTTAATTATATAACCCAATTTGGAAACCTCCTCAGTCTCTGTTTATAAATGTTGCCAGTTCTGGTCCTCCACAGTCCTCTCTTTACTTGGACCAAACATATTTTATCACAAACAGTCGAGTTATCGCATTATATATCACTTACTGGGAATTACCCAAAGAGTTTAAACCCAACAATAATCACTGTTCAGAAGAGTCTTCAGTGTCAGGTTCAGAAGAGTCTCCAGTGTTGTCCTCAGTCTCTGGTTGTAAATGTCTCTCTGGATCTGAGTTCCTGGCTGGTTCTGGTCCTCCACAGTCCTCTCCATCAGCATCTGTTTCCATGTGTTCAGCCGAGCTGCTGGCTGGAGGCTCTGCCTCTCTGTTCTCCTCAATTTGAGTTTGATGAAGCTGTGAGGACTGATGACCAACACGCTTATGGACTTCGACCTGTTGACTCCAGGTGAATCTTTCATCACAAACACTGCAGCTGAATGGTTGATCTCCTGTGTGGATTATCATGTGGCTCTTTACATTTCCTCTGTGTATAAAAGCTTTCTTACAGACTGAGCAGCTGAATGGTTTCTCTCCCGCACTACGTCTTGAATCACTGAGAGGGTCTTGTTTATTTCTCTGAGAGTTTGAACCTGGTTCTCTGGTCTTCTTCCAATCAGCCCTGTCTTCAGTGTCAGGTTCAGAAGAGTCTCCAGGGTTGTCCTCAGTCTCTGGTTGTACATGTCTCTCTGGATCTGAGTTCCTGGCTGGTTCTGGTCCTCCACAGTCCTCTCCATCAGCTTCTGTTTCCAGGTGTTCAGTTTGTCTTTGATGAAGCTGAGAGGACTGAGGTTTCTCTTCATCATCTTCACTCTTCACAGGGACAGGAGTGAATGTGAACTTGGTGATATCAGCCTCCTCCAGCCCTTGAAGCTGCTCTCCCTCCTGACTGCTCCAGAGTTCCTCCTGTTCCTCTTTAATGTGTGGGGGGGGGGCTCTGGGTCCTCCTGATTCGGCATATGTTGGTTTTGATTTCCACCTTCCGTAAACAATTCCTCTCCCTGGTGATTGCTGTTAAATGTTTCACCACTGTGGGAAAATGCATGTTTCAAAGAGCTTAAATCTGACAGGCCTTCACTGCTGTTTCCAAAAATCATCGTGTTCACTGTTTTCAGTCTCTGAAGAGTCTCCAGGTTTGTCCTCAGTCTCTGGTTGTAAATGTCTCTCTGGATCTGAGTTCCTGGCTGGTTCTCGTCCTCCACAGTCCTCTCCATCAGCTTCTGTTTCCATGTGTTCAGCTGAGCTACTAGCTGGAGGCTCTGCCTCTCTGTTCTCCTCAGTTTGAGTTTGACGAAGCTGTGAGGACTGACGACCAACACACTTATGTCTTTTGACCTGATAGCTCTGTGTAAATCTTTTTTCACAAACACTGCAGCTGTATGGTTTCTCTCCTGTGTGGTTTCTCATGTGTCGTTTTAAAGGTGATTTCAGGGCAAACGCTTTATTACAGACTGAGCAGCTGAATGGCTTCTCTCCTGTGTGGATTCTCATGTGGCCCTTTAAATTTCCTCTCTGTGTAAAATATTTCTTACAGACTGAGCAGCTGAATGGTTTCTCTCTAGCACTACGTCTTAAATCACTGACAGGGTCTTGTGTATTTCTCTGAGAGTTTGAACCTGGTTCTCTGTTCTCCTTCCAATCAGCCCTGTCTTCAGTGTCAGGTTCAGAAGAGTCTCCAGGGTGGTCCTCAGTCTCTGGTTGTAAATGTCTCTCTGGATCTGAGTTCCTGGCTGGTTCTGGTCCTCCACAGTCCTCTCCACCAGCTTCTGTTTCCAGGTGTTCAGTTTGTCTTTGATGAAGCTGAGAGGACTGAGGTTTCTCTTCATCATCTTCACTCTTCACAGGGACAGGAGTGAATGTGGAATTGGTGATATCAGCCTCCTCCAGCCCTGGAAGCTGCTCTCCCTCCTGACTGATCCAGAGTTCCTCCTCTTCCTCTTTAATGTGTGGGGGGCGCTCTGGGTCCTCCTGGTTCGGAATATGCTGGCTTCGATTTCCACCTTCCGTAAACAATTCCTCTCCCTGGTGATTGCTGTTAAATGTTTCACCACTGTAGGAAAATGCATGTTTCAATGAGCTTAAATCTGACAGGCCTTCACTGCTCTGTTTCCAAAAATCATCGCCTTCACTGTCATCAGTCTCTGAAGAGTCTTGAGTGTTGTCCTCAGTCTCTGGTTGTAAATGTCTCTCTGGATCTGAGTTCCTTGCTGGTTCTGGTCCTCCACAGTCCTCTCCATCAGCTTCTGTTTCCATGTGTTCAGTTTGTCTTTGATGAAGCTGAGAGGACTGAGGTTTCTCTTCATCATCTTCACTCTTCACAGGGTCAGGAGTGAATGTGGACTTGGTGATATCAGCCTCCTCCAGCACTTGAAGCTGCTCTCCCTCCTGACTGCTCCAGAGTTCCTCCTGTTCCTTTTTAATGTATGGGGGGGGCTCTGGGTCCTCCTGGTCCAGACTGGAGCTCCACTCCTGCTGCTCAGGGGGAACCTCTTCTTCAACCACCACCAGCTGCTGGACGTCTGCAGGAAACACACGTGAAATTGTTCGTAAAATCTCCAATTCTGTCTTTTTTTTTTTTTAAAGATTCAGAATTTCTAATAAGACAGACATCGACCCCCTATTGATTTACATTTAAATGTTTTTGGGGACTAATAGAATATGTTTACACAGCAAATGATGTTTCTAGATCAATGTATATATTGCATTTTACAGCTGAAAATGTTTAAGGCTGTGGTTATCCAATTTACTATGGAGGGAACCTACCAAAATAAAAACTAAATAATTCATTAAATGAAGCAAATAAATAAACGTAGGCATTGGATCGGTGAAATGTGACATGAATTTATATTCTTGTTTTAATTTTCTATTTTATTAATTATCCTTAGTATTTCTTCCGGCAATAATATTGTAGAGTAATATTTCAGATGTATTGGATCATAATAAAATCTGGGTAAACCTTGATTTATTTGTTAATAAAGAGAGAGTCTAATAAAGAGGGAACAGACCTGCTCTGTGGATCTGAGGCTGTAACACAGCGTCCAGTAGTTTCTGGTGTCTCTCGTTCTCCTGTTTTGAACGAGACAGTTCCTCCTCGTACTCTGCTATCGTTCTTTCAAACAGAACAAAGATGTCTTCAGCAGCTGCAGTGAGTCGCTGCTTCACCAACGAGAGCAGCACAACACTCATGTTTACTAAATCACCACTTCCTGTTGAACACACTGTTTCTCTCTGAAGCTTCAGTCTCTGTTGAACACACTGTTTCTCTGAAGCTTCAGTCTCTGTTGAACACACTGTTTCTCTGAAGCTTCAGTCTCTGTTGAACACACTGTTTCTCTGAAGCTTCAGTCTCTGTTGAACACACTGTTTCTCTGAAGCTTCAGTCTCTGTTGAACACACTGTTTCTCTCTGAAGCTTCAGTCTCTGTTGAACACACTGTTTCTCTGAAGCTTCAGTCTCTGTTGAACACACTGTTTCTCTGAAGCTTCAGTCTCTGTTGAACACACTGTTTCTCTCTGAAGCTTCAGTCTCTGTTGAACACACTGTTTCTCTCTGAAGCTTCAGTCTCTGTTGAACACACTGTTTCTCTCTGAAGCTTCAGTCTCTGTTGAACACACTGTTTCTCTCTGAAGCTTCAGTCTCTGTTAAACACACTGTTTCTCTGAGCTTCAGTCTCTGTTGAACACACACTGTTTTCTCTGAAGCTTCAGTCTCTGTTGAAACACACTGTTTCTCTCTGAAGCTTCAGTCTCTGTTGAACACAACTGTTTCTCCTGAAGCTTCAGTCTCTGTTGAACACACTGTTTCTTCTCTGAAGCTTCAGTCTCTGTTGAACACAACTGTTTCTCTCTGAGCTGCAATCTCTGTGGACAACACTGTTCTGAAGCTTCAGTCTCTGTTGAACACACTGTTTCTCTGAAGCTTCAGTCTCTGTTGAACACACTGTTTCTCTGAAGCTTCAGTCTCTGTTGAACACAACTGTTTTCTCTGAAGCTTCAGTCCTCTGTTGAACACACTGTTTCTCTGAAGCTTCAGTCTCTGTTGAACACATGTTTCTCTGAAGCTTCAGTCTCTGTTAACACACTGTTCTCTCTGAAGCTTCAGTCTCTGTTGAACACACTGTTTCTCTCTGAAGCTTCAGTCTCTGTTGAACACACTTTCTCTCTGAAGCTTCAGTCTCTGTTGAACACACTGTTTCTCTCTGAAGCTTCAGTCTCTGTTGAACACACTGTTTCTCTGAAGCTTCAGTCTCTGTTGAACACACTGTTTCTCTGAAGCTCAGTCTATGTTGAACACACTGTTTCTCTGAAGCTCAGTCTCTTTGAACACACTGTTCTCTCTGAAGCTTCAGTCTCTGTTGAACACATGTTTCTCTGAAGCTTCAGTCTCTGTTGAAACACACTGTTTCTCTGAAGCTTCAGTCTCTGTTGAACAACTTTCTCTCTGAAGCTTCAGTCTCTGTTAAACACACTGTTTCTCTGAAGCTTCAGTCTCTGTTGAACACATGTTTCTCTCTGAAGCTTCAGTCTCTGTTGAACACACTGTTTCTCTGAAGCTTCAGTCTGTTGAACACACTGTTTCTCTCTGAAGCTTCAGTCTCTGTTGAACACACTTTCTCTCTGAAGCTTCAGTCTCTGTTGAACACACTGTTCTCTCTGAAGCTTCAGTCTCTGTTGAACAACTGTTTCTCTCTGAAGCTTCAGTTCTGTTGAACACAGTTTCTCTCTGAAGCTTCAGTCTCTGTTGAACACACTGTTTCTTGAAGCTTCAGTCTCTGTTGAACACACTGTTCTCTCTGAAGCTTCAGTCTCTGTTGAACACACTGTTTCTCTCTGAAGCTTCAGTCTCTGTTGAACACACACTGTTTCTCTCTGAAGCTTCAGTCTCTGTTGAACACACTGTTTCTCTGAAGCTTCAGTCTCTGTTGAACAAACTGTTTTCTCTGAAGCTTCAGTCTCTGTTGAACCACGTTTCTCTCTGAAGCTTCAGTCTCTGTTGAACACACTGTTTCTCTGAAGCTTCAGTCTCTGTTGAACACACTGTTTCTCTGAAGCTTCAGTCTCTGTTGAACACACTGTTTCTCTGAAGCTTCAGTCTTGTTGAACACACTGTTTCTCTCTGAAGCTTCAGTCTCTGTTGAACACACTGTTTCTCTGAAGCTTCCTGAGCTGCTGTTCAGCTGGACGGCAGGAAGCAGAGATTTGGGAGGATGATGTCCCTGATGCTGTTTAGATTCCTCCAGCACCACGGGGGTCCTGTGTGGATGGCAGCTCCTTCCTCAGCAGATCCAGTTCTCCAGAATTGTCCTAATCACAGAGAACAAGAGAAAAAAGAAAATAATTAATTAATCTTATAAACAAATGATTGCAAAATGATGAATGACCATCTCTAAAGGATTATTTACAATTCAGTACTGTTTTGGTTTTTAAAAATGTCTATATCTATACAAAACATTTCTCTGAAGTGTTTCGTACCAAAATACCAAGCCATGCCTCATACATTAGTTACACTGTTTTACAGTTTTTCTCCCCAAAAATAAAAAATGTTTTATGTATTTCATAATGACAGGAAATCCTATTCAAATTACAAGAATAAACGGTTTATTGAAATGCGTCATGTATTTTAACAAAAGAAAAACTGTATAAATGGAATACATTAAATATCTGTTTTTAGCAGCTTTTAAAGATCTCCTATCGGCTATTTTAAGGCACATATTATGGGTCTCAGATACATACAAATATATAAAAACATGTCTATGTGTTTTGCTCAAAATACAAAACAGGTCATGCATTTTAGACATCCCTCACATTCCTCTATTCCAGCTGCTGATTTTGGGTCCTTAGCTTAAAAAAGAAAGAAGAGGAGGCGGCGCTAATGCCTGATCAGAATTCTACCGGAGATAAAGTTAAATTCTGCTGTGATAAAACACCATCCTGTTCTAAACCACATCAAGGATTATTTCTAAGACAGTATGGAGCTCAAATGCTTTTTCTCTTGCAGGTTTATCAGAAGGTGAGTTCCTTTATTTATTTCCTGCTTTTTAAACACTGTGCTCTCCAGTACAGGCTAGCTCTGAGTGTTAGCGATGCTTGCTAACGTAAACACAGACCATATTATGTCCAAAACAACGTCAGGCATTGTTTTCTGATAGCAACTTTCTGTGGGTCCGCCGCCGATTTTGCGTCATATCGGCAGCAAATCTGTATCCGCTCGTTGTTACCCCCTGTGTTTTAAAAGATTTGGGTACGGAGGAAAAGAGAAAGGGTTTTAATTTCTGACACTGTGTGAGTCTCCTGACACACCGGGGACACATATTTATGTATAAAAGACATCAAAAAGCACATTTTTCAAGATGGGTCCCCTTTAAAATGCAAATTTAACAAACTAACTGTAAAAATAAATGATTTTCTGTTCGCAAAATGTGTTGCATTTTCTGTATTTTACAAAAATACTTTTGTTATGGCCATATATCACTGTCAAATACATTTAAAATACTGTTAATAATCATTTAAAAAAATAATAATTGCAAGAAGAAAAAAAAAATATATAAATATATATATATATATATATATAGCCTCAACATTAGTTTTCCCTCCGAACTTGCAGAGGTAAGACTTGAAGTGTAATTATTCGAAGTCATTCCAT